GGGGAGGGAGAGAAATAGAGAGAAAGAGAGAGAGAGGGTATGTATTCGAGAGAGAGAGAGAGAGTGAGTGAAAGAGAGAGAGAGAGAGACAGAGAGAGAGACAGAGAGAGGGGGGGAGAGACAGAGACAGAGAGACAGAGAGACAGACAGAGACAGAGACAGAGACAGAGACAGAGACAGAGACAGAGACAGACAGACAGAGAATGCGTGACGGAGAGAAAAAGAGAGACAGAGGGAGACAGAAAGAAGGAGAGAAAAAGAAAAAGAGAGGGTGTTTGTAAGTGCGTGTGTTATTGTGTGTGTGTGTGTGTGTGTGTGTGAGAGAGAGAGAGAGAGAGAGAGAGAGAGAGAGAGAGAGAGATTGTTTGTTTGTTTGAGAAAGGAGAAACAAAACAACAAAATGGCACATTACAGGTCATTTAATGAAAGAAAAAAAAGTAAGATAGACAGACAGATAGGAACAATGCAAAAAAAGAAAAGGTGTAGGGCCCACCACCAGCGCCCTCCGACCAAACAGACAGACAAACAGACAACTTACTTCTCTGTCCAGATCCAGCTGTTGGTACTGCACGTTGTACTTCAGGATAAGGCCATTGGGCTGCTTAGGTGGAGACCACTTGATGAGCACTTCTCCAGTTTTGTTGGACATGAGCTCGATGTGAACGGATGACACGTTGATGTTGTCAGATTTAGCTGCAAAAGATAACACAAAAACACACTGAAGAAGGCGAATTTAAGGTGAAATTGTTGTCCTAACCGAACAGAACTCTAAAACAAAGTTGCAACTTTTGCTTCATTGAGCATCTTGCTCTGAAACCAGAATTGAAGACGAAGAATGTAAACGGACGGAAAATGAAACTCTATAAGTATCTCGGCTGGTTCGTCTTAAAAAAATAAAGGTTGAAATTATTCATAGTACAATAATACAAAAGCAAGATTCACGCATCAAAAAAGTACCAGTCATTTAGTACATGGGTAATGTAAAAAAAAACAGAAGTATCGGGGCAGGAAGAAAAGAAGTGGAACTATCAATGGCCGAATCAAACCACCTGAAAGCAAAGTTTTCAGAGAAAGTTAACCAATGACATGTCAAGTTTTATATAAAAATCATAGCTGGTGCCAACTAAAGTGCCCATGTTTTGAGTGGGCAAAAAGGACTGAAATGATCTACAATATGATAATATGAAAGCAAGATAAATGTTCCTAAAGAGAAGCACATCAACACAATGAATTAAAAAGTAAGATAGACACACAAAGACAACAAAGGAGGGAAAGAAAAGGAGTAAAACCCTTCAATCAACGGTAGGCACATTCTTAGAAAAACTTTTTAACAGCCATATCCAATCAAGAAGTGACTTCAAATGGTCCCAATGCTTTTGAAAAAAAGGTTTGAAATTATATGATAACAAGAAAGCAAGATGTAAGGTAAAATAAAAAAACAAATAACTTTTTTTAGGGGGTGAGAGAAGAGTCAAGTTCTAGTTCGAGCACCAGCATATCAGTGGGCGCCCATAGATTGACAAGGTTTTAACTCCACATGATGCATAATTTTGAGAAAATAGGATTCAAAGATTCATAGTCTTACAGCTGAAATGGTTTTACTCCTAACTCCTTATTTATTAAACATTAAACTAAAAAATATATAAAAATATACAGGTCATATTGTCTCGTCTTTTACACTGTTTGCAGGGCATCTGTGCCAGTACTGTGTTACGTATAACTCAAATCTCCCCCAAACAAAAAAGAGTCAAAAACCCTGTCATTCTAAAGGTGCCAGAAGCGACATCTTACGATCAGGCTTTGTCTGTTCTGTAGTGATAGCCCCGGTCCCGCACAGCTTCTCTCCTGTGTCTGGGTTGGTCTCATGGCAGGCAATAACCTGAGGGGCGGGAGGGGGAAAACAATAAAACATCACTGCTACATTCAGTGTAAGAACAATTCAAGAAAATGGAACATGGAGAAAAATAAGAAACCCCAAAAACAAAAGAGAAGAAAAAAAAGTCAGACCCACATGTAAAAACAAAACAATGACTGTAAATATTCCAACATACAAAGGACAAAATTACATCAAGTGGGATTGGTTTTGGTGTAGTGTTGGTGATTAAGTTCTCAAATTCCCGACTATCAAATCCGGGACAGTTTTAGTTTTAGTAAGAATTTTACGGCACTTGCAACACAATAAGATCAGATAAGTGCTGAAGATTAGAGGTGTTACAAGAGAGTAACAAACACAAAAAGAGGGAGGAGAGATCAGGACTATAGATGTTTCATAGGAAAGAAGGAGCAAACCACACCAGAGCACCCACCAACCACCCACAATCCGGGGCAGTCCTGGGAAATTCGGGACAATTGGCAAGCACATTGCCCTGTGAATCCCGGCGGGTACAAACACCCGAGTCTCACCTCAATGTTGTAGTTCTGGAAGTGCTGCAGGTCACTGAGCTGGACCTCGGTGTCATAGATGATGACCTCATGGACCACCACAGAGGCCACCGTCGCGTTGATCACGCTGGCATTGGCCTTCTCCACCTCAGGGCCCGCCGTGGTGAAGCGGGCAGTGCTGGTCACATACTTCCCGCCAGCCGTGGTGCTGATGGTGGTGGTACCCGCAATGACCGTTACACCACCACTACCTCCACCCACATTACCACCTCCTCCGCTAGCACCACCAGAGCCAGTGTTCACCACCGCCGGTCTGGGCTTAAAGCCGAAAATTTCACTACTGTCATAGCCACCATACATGCTGTTCATGTTCACATCCTTGCTGGTCAGCGGCCGGTCAAAGTCCAGGCCGTCATTGTAAACCATGGCCTGGCGGCGCACACGACGGTTGCCCAGCTCCATGTCTGGCAGCTCAAATTCTGCATCCTTGTCCAGACACTCCGTTCTGAGGGGATAGTACATTGAAAACTTTCACTTTACAAACTGCAATGGAATCAAAACACTAAAGAGCACTACAACAACATTTATAAACATTACATAATAACAAATCAAATCAGAAACATTATAATAATAAAAAATACAGTAGCAAAAATTATAGCTACAAATACAACCATATTGCTCATCACCACTCACCTCCCAATTCTCTGTACCCCGCTCATCCTCACATTTTGGAAAAGAGCTTTTACCTCAAATTTTTTACATGCCCTTCACCTCCAACTCTCAGCCCAGTCCCGTCCTCTCCTCTCTCCACTTCATTTTGGGCACCCTCTTCCCCTCGATTTCTTAATGCCCACCTCATCACAAGATTCTGGTATGCAACCAGACCTGCCAATATGATCAAAAATGGGCGTTTTTCTGAGAATCCTCTGCAAAAATCAGAGTCTCCACAACCCCAGAAGATTCAGATTACATTACAAACCATGTTGTGGCAAAGAAACATGCATTTTGCAAATATACGTAAATAAACACAAAATAGCAATGTGTTTTTCACCCTGTTTACGATAAGTCGCGGAACTATTGCAAATAAAAGCAGAGAAACATCAAATCTTTTACAACTTTAGTAGCATACAATGGATGGAAACGGAATTCCAGTAGTAAAAAACCAACAGATTTTTTTGCAAATCTGATCAGGGTTCTTCCATAGACCAAAAAAAAAATCGAAAGGCTCCAATTTTATCAGAACACTTAACAGGTTTGCGCATCCCACATCCACTTGTTAGTATGCCATTCACCTCCAACTCATAGCACCCCACTTATGGCCGCATTTCCGCACACCTCTCACCTTCACTTTTTAGTACCCTCTTTCCCTCCATTTCATTGCCTCACTTTGGTAGGCAACCCACCTCCACTTCGCTACCTCAGAATTACGAAGTTCTATCTGCTCAGTACCTATTTTTGAGAATTTTGACGTATAAAAATTTTGACTTTCACACCATGTCAAGCTTTTTCTAATTTAATTCCTTGAAAGTCACGATAACGACTCCGAATAATCTTACGATTTTGATAGAGCATATAGAACATTTGGTTTCTGACCTCATGGTCGTAGTAACTCAAAACGGCTAAAAATGTCAGCTAGAACTTTGTAATTCTGAGGTAGCGACTTGTTGGCACCCTACTCATGGTCACATTTCAGCACACCACTCACCTCCACTTCTTGGTGTAGACAGCGTTGTGCAGCTCGTTCTCGAAGGAGATCTCCCTTTGGCGGTCCTCCTTCTCCCGCTCCACCTGTTCCTTGGACTTAGGGCAGGCACAGCACTGGTGCGGCAGCTGCTCCTGGGCCTCCTTCTCCGTCTTCAGCTGCGCCAGACGACGCTTCTCTTTTTCTGCCTCAATCTCTCGTGTGTTCCTCATCGCTGTAATGGGTTGAAGGGTGGGTGGAGGATGTACAAATCATAATAACCAATTCTAAAAATTAACATTTCAGTTTCAGTAAGAGTTCTATGGTAGGCCTACTTGCAACACAAATAAGACATATAAGAGCCAAAGACTAGAGATGTTACTAGAGAGTAGCATACAACACATTACACACAAAGACAAAAATTAGGAGAAAGATGGAGGATGGATCTTTGATAGAAAACAAGGAACAAACTACATCAAAGCCCAAAAAAATGTTCTTAAACATCCGTCACCACAATATAGTTCATTTAGGGGGTGGGCTATATGACCATAAGTTTTGAGTCTAAGAGAAACATATTAACACCCTTTCACATGCAAAAATCTTATGACACCTGTAACCTCTGACTTGGACCTTTTTTCAGTGCAGGTTGCCATCTTTCTTCTACCACCATTCATTAGCGCATTCTAAAAGAAGATGCTATCGTTTCGGAAGAGTATAGTGTATAACGCACCAGCTGCTATGCAGAGTTTACAAGCTGAAAATCGATACATAAGTTTTTTAATCAGGGTCATTTTCAAATTAATTTTGGGATAGCCCTCACTTTTCGTGACAGTAAAAGAAAATCTTCACACAAACAAAATAGTTTTGCTGTGAAAAAAAGAGTAAAAAGTTCTGCTATGAATCAAATAAACCTCATGAATAAAGCCGAGAAAACATCAAAGAAAAACACAAAACATTTACAAACAAATTTCAGAGGCAGTGTCAACAAAACAAGTTTTTAAAAACAAAGATGAAAAACCGCACACAACTCAACAAGAAAGTGGATAACATGTGTGATCAATTCATCACTGTTAAAAATCCTGATCCAACACAACAGGAACACATTACATTGAAGGAGAGAGAGAAGCACACACATCAGGTTATCCTGCCCTGTGAGAGAAAGCCCAGACACATACATCTTCAAGCACCCATGAAAAAAGATGTAAAAGAAAAGACAATTTTTAATGTACAAGTTTTACAGCTCCTCCCCCCCCCCCCCCCCCAAACAAACAAAAATAAAAGCAATAACAACAAAAGACTAAATTTAAATCATTTAGGGGGTGGGTGATTTCAACTCTGCCTGTCAGTGCCAACATGGGCTCAGTGGGATATAATATTCTAAAAGACACAGGTGATCCATTTTTAAAAAACTTTCCCACATGGGAATAAAACTACTGTCTTTTGAGCCCTATGGGGAGGACTCTAACCAATACACCACAGACACTCGTTTTTTTAAAAATAAAACAGAAAAGAATGCAATTAATGTCAAAAACACATCATCATCATCATCATCCTCATTATCATCATCATCAACATCATCATTCTGACTAAATAATCATAACTAACAAGATTTTTTTGTCTTCACTCTGCCACTTCTGCTCAAATAAACTTACAATATTTTTTTGTGTATTTGTATTTAAATGGCAATTAGGCATCCAAAAATTGGGTATTCAGACTTAAAATTAAAAACACAGAAGTGTTTAAAAGGTCTTGTAAAAAAATGTACTACAGTCCTGTTGGAACAGAGTTTTAAAATAACCATAATGTCCAAAAGAACCTCTTTGCCTGAGAGAAGGGGGAAACAATGGCACACGCACCAGCACACATATGCACACACACACACAAACACACGGACAGACAGACAGAGACAGAGACAGAGACAGAGACAGAGACAGACAGACAGACAGACAGGCAGACAGACAGACAGACAGACAGACAGACAGACAGACAGACAGACAGACAGACAGACATGTAAGCACGCACAAACGCATTCAAAATGATGGACAGACTCACGGTTATCACAGAAATCTCTCTTCTGAAAACCCTCTCCATTGAACTTCTGAGCATTGTAGAAGACTTTGTAGTGGGTCACCCGGCCATTAGGTTTTTTGGGTGGCTGCCACTTGACGGTCAGCTCATGAGGTCCATTGGACTTGACCTCCAGATTCAGAGGTTCTGATGGTACTGTGAACATAAGAGGGCACGCGTATTACAGCACTAGCAACAACAAATAGGTCATATAAGTGCCGAAGATTGAAGGTGATATCAGAGAGCAGATACAAAGAAAAGAAGGAGAGACAAGGATGACATATGTTTGATGGGAAAGAAGGAGCAAACCACAAAAGAGCACCTGCCTACCACCTACACACATTATTCATGAACTGACTAATGGTACAATAGTGCCCATTTAATACTGGGGGAAAAAGCAAGATAAGGCTGAAACAATATAGGGCCAAAAAATAGAAGTAAGAGCTATCAATCGCACCCTCTAATCACCCACCACAGACAAAAACAAGAGAGGGGGAAAAAAAGAAGTAAGACCAACCAGTAGAACCCTCCAAAGTTAATAAGGAAGTGATTATCAAAATTGTTGGGGGGTTTTTATATTAACTTGAGACGTTTGCAAAGAGTTTGTTTTCTTAGTAACAACATTCTTTTTTTTTTGGGCCCACTTGCAAAATTGTACTGCATCTACTGTACTTCTAAAAATGACAGCATAAGTGTTTTGTGTGTAAGTGTGTAGCTGTGCAGTGGTGGCACGAGGGGAGGGGGGGAGGAGAAGAAGAAGGAGAAGAAAATAAAATCTTTCAACTCACCCGCGGGGCTGGTCTTGATATAGATCACCTTCGACTGTGAAGCAACACTGGCTGTGGGCAAAGTGTAGGCTTGGATGTAGACGGCGTACTTGGTGAAGGGCTCCAGGTGGAGGAAAGAATACTCATAGGAGGAGACGTTGCCAATGGGGGAGGGCTGCACATCCTGGGTGGACCACTCTGTCTCCGAGCACGCATCCCGGCCAGCATACAAGTCTACCACTGGTTCAGTTCTGGAGAGGGGATTTTTTTTTTGGGGGGGGGTGTTAAGTTTTAGTTAGTTGCAGTACAGTTTTTATCGAGCTCGAAACTGCATGAGGTCATATGAGCGCCAGAAGATTAAAGGGTGTTACAAGAGAGTAACAAACATAAAAAAGAAGGAGGGGAGATAAGGACGATAAGTATTTGATAGGAAAGAAGAAACAAACCATACCATAGCACCTGCCAACCACCCACGTTAAGTTTTAGTCGCTGAGTTTTGCGGCATTTGCAACACAATTTGGTCATTCAAGGGCAGAGGTTATAGGTGTTACCAGAGACTGACATAAAAGAAAAAAAGGAGGAAAGCTAAGGATGATAGACATTTGATAGGAAAGAAAAGGCAAACCACACCTGAGCACCCGCCACACCAACTAAAGGTACACTAAGAAGAAGTAAAAAAAGAGCAGATCACACAAGGGCTCCCTCTAACTCCCCACTTTAATCAGCAAGATGACAACAACACTTCACCAGAAACAGAATAGGACAAGCAATAGCAAAACACACACACACACACACGCGTGCACATGCACGTGCACGCGCACGCGCACGCGCACGCACACGCGCACGCGCACGCACACGCACACACGTAAGGCAATAAGCTACTCACACTTTCTTGTAATGTATGATGTAGTTGATGAGCTGCCTGGCATCCCCACCATGGTATCTTTCCCACTTCAGGACAACCATGATGGGAGCAATCTTCGTCACCACCACGTTAAGGGGAACATGGAGGCCTGCACCACAGAGGAAACACACCAAAACACAGTCAGTCAGTATACCACCAGCTCAATACTTTCTTGTACAGCTTCCTCTGTATCACAATGTGCCCCTGTGCTCAAAGCACAAAATCCAGGCCAGTCTCCCTGTTCTAATACCTCCAGTTTCCCCACTTTTGAGAGTTATTGTAACAGCTCACTATCCAAGAATTACAAATCTGCTGCTCACTACCTCGATTTGAGAAATTTAATGTTTAAAAATTTTGAGTTTCACACAATGTCAAGCTTTAACTAATTCAATTCTTTGAATATCTTGATAACGACTCAGAATCAACTTACAATTTTGATACAGCAGATAGAACATTTGGTTTCTGATCTCATGTTATTAGTAACACAAAATGGCCAAAAATGTCAAATAGAACTTTGTCAATTCTAAGGTAGCGAGTTGTCTACTGTTGAAAAATCTTCCCTTTGAGCACACAGTCACTTACAGCGAATGCCTGTGTTCTGTAGAATTTCAGTCTCATCATGTACTTACCATTTCAGTGACTGGAATTAAGTGCTTTCAAAGTAATTCGCGTCATACCCGATAAAAACTTAACTGATCCTCCATTGAAAGAAATAGATGATGAGCGTCGCACCCCCCCAGGCAATAATAAGGCAAGTAATACAGCTTTAGCAGATTTCCTATACCTCTCTCATCTTGTTCTTTAACGGACTGGCCGCCTGTAATGCACTGAAAAATTGTAAGTGCTAGAACAGAGTTTAATTGATCTTGTTACAATGGTTTTAGTTTTAGCAAGCATTTGATGGCACTTGCAACACAATTAGGTCATATAAGTGCCAAAGATTAGAGGAGTTATAAGAGAGTTACATACACAAATATAAAAGGAGGAGAGATACGGATAATAGATATTTGATGGAAAAAAAAGAGCAAGCCACACCAGAGCACCCCCCAACCACCCACATACAATGGTTTCCCCAAATACTGTTGAAATTATACTCACAAGGTATGAGGTCACCATTCGTGGTATTGCTGATGTCCACGTTAATCCCTTTGCTGTCAAGCTGCGGACGCACTCCCACCTTAGCCGTGAAGTTTGAGATTTTTCCAAAGCAAAGCTTACGATTGCCATGGAAACTGACCCTACCCTTTCTGATAGCCATCTTGTTCATTTGCTCTTGCGGGAAGATCTCCAACAGATTGGAGTTGTCCACTACCAGCAGGCTGTACCTGAAAACATTGAGATTGAGCAATGATATATTGTTGTTGTTGAAAGTTAGTTTTTAGTTTTAGTAAGAGTTTTACGGCACTTGCAACACAATAAGGTCATATAAGTGCCGAAGATTAGAGGTGTTACATGAGAGTAACAAACACAAAATAGAAGGAGGAGGAGAGACCAGGACGATAGACGTTTGATAGGAAAGAAGAAGCAAACCACACCAGAGCACCCGCCAACCACCCACTTGTTGAAAGTGATCATCGCATTGCATCATTTTAGTTTAGTTTTAGTATTAAGAGTTTTCTGGCTCTTGCAAGTTGCAACACAAAAAAGCCATATAGGAGCAGAAAATTAGAGGTTTTACAAGAGATTGACATACAAAGAGATGAAGGAGGTGAGATAAGGACAATGGATGTTGGATAGGAAAAGAGGAGTAAACCCAATTAGAGCGCCCACCAACCACCCACCGATATAGGTCATTTTACTCATTTCGTGGCTGCTATTCCATATAGATGATTTCATAAATGATGCTTGGTTTATTTCTCATGAAGTCTGATTATTATGTTACCCAACTGCAGTTTTGTCCTGTTTACTATTTACTAACATAGATGGGATCTTATTATTCTTCACACCTCTCCAATTAATGTGACGTACATTATGTCCACACTGTGTGTGAGTGTGTGTGTGTGTTTGCACGCGCGGGTGTGTGAGTGTGCATATGTGCGTATGTGTGTGTGTGTGCGTGTGTGTGAGTGTGCATATGTGCATATGTGTGTGTGTGTGTGTGTGTGTGTGTGTGTGTGTGTGTGTGTGTTTGCACGCGCGGGTGTGTGTGTGTGTGTGTGTGTGTGTGTGTGTGTGTGTGTGTGTGTGTGTGTGTGTGTGTGTGTGTGTGTGCCCTTGTGTGTGTGTGCCCTTGCATGTGCATGTGTGTGCGTGCGCCTGTGCATGAGTGTGTGAAAATCACGTACAGGTTTAGTGCCAACTGCTCTCCTCCAATGATCTCTAAACCTTTGAAGAAGTGGAGGGTGAGCAAGGCGTACGACCTCATGATCTTGATGTAGCCGGTCACCTCGCGAATACCTCCCATGTTCTTGGTCAGCTCTTTGTCAATGTTTTCTGAAACGAGCAGACAACAATCAATAAACATTTGTTTCCAATTTTTAAAAAAACTTCATAGGGAAACGGAAGGATGCAGGACCCACCAGTGGTGCCCTTCAACCACTTCTAAGGAATAGACAAATTTGTCTCTAAAATTCTGGTTTAACCAACTTGACTTTTTTTCTGTTCATCATCTATTATTCCTGTATTATATTGTCTCCTCTCACTTTCTGATCCAAAAAATCATTGGGCTTAAGCCCAGCTGGGTTTTTTGTTTTTTTTTTAGTGTCGTAGCATTTACTGCTCAGTAAACCTGCAAAAGGTGATGCAATTAATGATTGTGCTCTTCCTCACGTACACGTGTTGTTATCGATCTAGTCATGTACACATAAGATGTCAGTCATGCTCCAAGCAAAGAAAGATAATGTATTGAGTATCTTCATCTGTCTTCCCCATACTGATAGACTTCAGTCATACGCCAGTTTTGAGAAAAGAGTAATGCATTGACACAATAATGTTTATTAAGCGGTGAGGAAAAGAAAAAAAAATCGAGACAGGAAACAGAGGTAAACAAATGAAGTAGCACTAACCTAATAGGAGGGGAACAGAAAACACAAGAGCGCCCACCAACCACGACCACATAGCAATGACACATTATCAATCAAAAAGTACAGTGACTGTCAGAATCTGCAATGGAAACGTACATCTCTCAACTCTACCTTCTGTAATACCAAAAGAGCTTGATAAACTCACTGTGTAATGAGAAAATGAGTATAAGATAAATACAGAACAAAAACTTGTGTTCACAAACCTCCACTCATAATCTGGATATCCAGGTTGCCACTGACTTTGCTGCAGCCAAAGAGACGCTTTGAGTCCTCAATGCTGTGCACTATAGTACTGTTACATACTGGGGGGAAAAAATAATAAATTATCGATCAAAACAAAATCCAAGCTGTTGGGAACCAAATGACTGTAAATGTTTTTCACTCCATTAGACAAATTTATATCATTATGTTCAAGATCTTTATGTTTATTCAGGTGTCCCAAAAACTGCATTTGTCTTTTCCTGATGGTTTTTATCAGTGAGTGTCCCACGTGGACTTCTTCAAGCACTACCTCATTTGATTTCTTTTCCTTTCAAGATATTCTCAGCAGTCTAAAAACCACATTTCTCTTGCTTCTATTTTTTTCACTGTCGGATTAACAAGTAAATATCTCCTCTTTGGAAAGTAGGGGCACAGAGTACCCCACGCCGCATGGATACGATAGTAAAACATGGAGTACGTATAGGGTTAATGATTGTCCGGCTCAATTACCTTTAGGACAGAATCCCCCACAAAGCACACAGCGAGGAATCTTCTGATCCTTGGACTCGTCCACCTTGTAGCCCACGGGGCAGTCAAACACACACAGGCTGGGCTGGCCTTGGCTCCCCTCCAGGAGCTTGGGCCCAGACTTGGACTCCTCCCCTCCACTGCCCGAGACCGGGGACAGGCTCAGGCACTGTTTGTCCGTCAAGCAGCTGTGGTCCGACAACTGGACATGGGAGAACATTCAACAAGAGGAATTTTAATATCCAAATTAAATAATTTTCTTTTAAATTCTATTGTTCCTTATTCCCATGGGCTTTGTTTGTTGTTGTATTTTTTTTGTTCATTTGCTTTTTAAATTGGGTTGGAGTTTTTTTGTTTTGTTTTGTTGCTGTTGGTTTGTTGTTGTTTGTCCAGGGGGGGAGGGGGGGGTGTGGTCTCAATTTATTTTATTCTTTCTTAATTTCGGTAAATAGATGTACATTGACAAATTAAGTCGTTTCTAGAATGGGAAAAGCAGCACATATACACAGCACCATCAGAAGAAGGCTAATAAAGATGTAGGACCTGCAAGTGGCTACCTCCCCCATTTGGTTTAAAAAAACAATACAATAATTCCTCAAAGCCACATACCAGAAGCTCAAGGACACAACCCAGCGACTACCTGTCTAAACACTATGTCAGCAACTGGCCAGTCAGAAGCACCCTCAAATCACCTGCACTAATGAGAAGATCAACCTCCAACCACTCACTCTAATGATTAAAAAATACACTCTCTAATCACCCGCTGTGATGACAAAACAAGCAAGAAACCCCCCACTTTGTTTTTAGTAAAAGTTTTACGGCACTTGCAACACAATAAGGTCATACAAGAGTGCCAAAGATTAGACGTTACAAGAAAATAACAAACACACAAAAAAGGAAAGAAAAGAAATCAAAACCATAGATCTTGGACAGGAAAGAAGAAAAGATAGATAAGATAATACTTTATTGTCCTAGAATGATATATTTCTTGCAAATCACACTAGAACACTGGCGAAACCACCCACTAATAGATGTTTGGTAGGAAAGGAGTAAACCACACCAGACCACCCACCAACCCACCCACTCACAGATATTTGATGAGAAAGAAAAAAAGAGCAAATCACACAAGAGCAACCCGCCCCCATTTATAGACCTTCGACGAGAAAGAAAAAGTAAACCACCACTAGAGGACATCCTCCTCTCTTCTCCCCCCCCCCCCAAACCACACTAAAATAGATGTTTGACGGGGAAAAAGAGCAAACCACCACCCGAGCAGCACGCCACCCACCCACCCACCTTGTAGGTGCCGTGCGGGCAGACCGGGTGGCACTCTCCCTGGAACAGCACGTTCTTGCAGGCGAAGCAGTCAGAGGCGGAGGGCCCCGAGCAACCCCCGAGGCAGTACGGGTGGCAGCACGTCCCATCCTCTCCGCACGGCTGACCGCCGGCACAGTTGCAAGCTGGGGACACACACAACAAACACACATACACAACACCAAATAATGAGTAAAATCAAAGCCAATCAAATAAAGAATAAATAAATGCGCTGAATTTAGGGTACAACGGCAAACGTTTGTTGGAGTCTTCTTGCACCCAACAATTTCGCACCCAACAAAACTAAACATAACAACAGTTTTAAAAAAAAACACATTTGGAACGTGTTTCCCAGTTGGCCGTGTTACCATTTCCCCTCAACTTGTTCTCCCTCTCCACACAAGCCTACAACAGGGAGAGTCATCCATCCCCGCAGCTTATCAATAAGCCAGTGGCTAATCTTCCATGGGTCTACTACACATTCAGAATTCAGAGAGGTCGCTTCTATTTCGGGAGAGGAATGTTCGCCGAGTGAAAAAAAACAAACATTGTAATCTCAGCTGCATAAACACGACAGTTTTTGCAGACTGCACAGATTTACACCTTTGAAGAGATAGCTATCGGCTCTATACCCTGATTAAGCAATGGGGCTGAACCACATTATGAGACTAAAATAAACCCCAAAAAAACAAGAAAATTAAAATTTAAAAACCAAAACACTATCATAAAATAAACACGTTCATAATCACTGTTGTGGAAAAGCAGGGGTGTGATAATATCACAGAAAACTGATAGCAGTTTAAGTTATGAAAATTTGACAGTGAAACAGGCTTAAGACTTCCATCTCTCACTACCGCTAAATATCCTTCTTTCCCCCTGAAAGGTGAGACCATACACACACACACACACACACACAT